GCTGGTACCGTCACGGTAGCTCAGTCGGTAGAGCGCTCGCTCCGTGATCGGAAGGTTGAGTGTTCGGCTGACCTAAGTCGCTAAAAAATAGGTAGCAACTGTTCCGTCGCCAAGCGCTCGGCACTTTGAAGTGAAAGTTACACGTCCTTCGGACGAGACCTTAAAAACTAGGGATGTCAATTTTGTCAATAATTCATATTCGAATATTCAATAAAAGTATTCGAATATTCGATAAAATAAATAAAATCTGTTTTATTTTAAATATGCATCATCCTACTCTCATGAAAGGTTTAGCGTAGGTATATATTGGAAGTAAAATTGTATGAAGACTTTTGTAGGTGTACAATAAGAAAATCCATTTTATATTTGTCAATGTCTGAAATAAATAATTGATTTAAATGTAGAAAAGTATAATTTTAACAAATGAAACGTGTATTTATGGTAGCTCTGACTGAGGAATCAGTCGTCTTACAAAAAGGCAAGATAGTCGTAATGGTATACTGTTCAGATTTCAATACGTGTAATGAATTACAATTATCTGCCTGATAAGAGATATGATTATAATCTTTGATACAAAGTAAACATATATTTCCATAGACAATTTTCCTATGTAATTGACTAATTTCCCGATAATGAATATAAAATTCAAGGTTTATGCACAACCCGAGATAATCAAGTAATTTACAATTTATTCAGAAATTAAGCCCTTTACAATATTAATTACAGATTAATTCTATCGGACATTCATTCAATGATCAATTAATTTTATTTTGATAATTACACTCTTCACGCCTTTTAGACATTCTTAGATTTCATTTGTTGTCCTCGATTCTAGATCCGATCGTATCCAACTAATAAAAAGTATGAAAGTACGCTTTGTATTATACATAAAGCATTATTGTACAATTCTTAACACCTTACTCAAAACAAAATACATGTAATTTAGTAGATTTATAAGATGAGAAAGTAGTGAAAGAAATCAGGCGATCGAAATTGATCGCTAGTAAATTAAACGGATAATTCCAGCACTGTTCTAATCAAAATTTATAAATCACAGTACTTCTTCTTATGAAATCTGAAAAACACCGAATATTCGAATCTTAAATTCATATTCGAATATCAACTCATCGAATGAATATTCGAATATTCGTTGCCATCCCTATTAAAAACCGAGGCCCAGTGTCACGATAAGCCACATCCCACCCTCAATTACATGCTAATAGTAATAAATGTACTGGGTAAACACCTACATGTACAAATCTGTTATGCATTCAATTTCATTTAATCTGTTGCTATTTGGGATGGAATACCTTAACTTCTTTGTTGCTGATTCAGCATCCAACTTCTTGAATGCCTGACTTTCCCAAAGATTTGCCTTATATAGCCTTTAGTTTGGCTAGTCCATTCTAAGGGTTGTCAGGTCATTCCATTATTTGAGGTCTTCAATGTGTTTTACTCAAATGCCCCTTAAACCATTACACCTATATAAAAATATGTAAAACTTTAACCCCCTGTGTTAGCCCTGCCCTAACCCCAGGGGTCATGGATGGAACAAACTTGAATCTATACTATCTGATGATACTTCTATTATAATATGACTAATAATCATGGCTTTCAAGGGTTATGCCGTTCAAGAGAAGAATTTTAAAGACATTTCCTCTATATTCCTTTGTAAAACTTCGACCCCCTCTTGCGGCCCTGCCCTACCCCCGGCGGTGATATGAAAAAACTTGAATCTACAGTATGTAATTCAGCTTTCCCATACGTTTCATCTTTTCTTGCCCAGAGGTTCTTGAGAAGAAGATCTTTAAAAGATGCCACCAATTTTTCAAGATTTCTTAATTATCTCCCCTTGAAAAAGGGCGCGCACTTCCTATGAACAATCTTAAATTCCCTTCACCCAAGAATGCTTTGTGGCAAATTTTGTTGATATTGGCATAGTGGTTTCTGAAAAGAAATCGAAAATGTGAAAAGTTTACAAGACGACAGACTGACGCCGGACACACTTTGATCAGAAAAGCTCATTTGCAGCCTTCGGCTCAGGTGAGCTAAAAATTACAGAATTACTGAACTCATATACATTTTAAACACCCTTTCCTTACTGTACGTTTTCTCGCCTTACTTCAGTCACATCAACACAAAACATAGGGAGTTTAAACTACACGTGTAAAATCCTACTCTAATAATTCGACATATTTATATAATCACTAAAATTTTCTTTTCATATACCGTCTTGTACTTAAACCTTGATTCATATAAAAGAGCACGTGGTGGCAAACTGCGCTACACAAAATGTACCTTGATCTATTAGAAAAAATGTTAATTATCTGCTATCACACTTATTTGCTCGCATCGTCATTTCTGGTAATATTTATCAAGAGGCTCAAGGCCCTTAACGGTCACCTGAGTATAAAACAACAATCTATAGAGGATCCATGGAGTATAAATTGAAGCTGCAAAAACAAACCCATGCAGGTTTACCGTTATACAATATACATTAACTTTTTATCCAATCAAATGACGACGCGTTAGAACTAAAATTAAATTATATTAAAATAACTTATCATGGTTTTGTTGTTTTGAGAAGATTTTTTAATGATCTTTCCTATATATTCCTAACTAAAACTTTGATCACCTGTTGTGCCCCCTCCCTACCCTAGGGGGTCAAGATTTGAACAAATTTGAATTAACTTTACCCAAAGATGCTTCCATATAAATAAGACAAATCATGGCTTTGCTATTCTTGAGAAAAAGATTGTTAAAGATTTTTCATATGTATTCATGTGTAAATCTTTGATCGTCCATTGAGCAGTTGAGGCTCCACTCTATCCCAAGAGTCATGATTTGAACAAACTTGAATCCATACTATCTGAGGGTGCTTCCAAGTAATGATAAGTAATCATGGCTTTGCTGTTTTTGAGAGAAAAAAAATTCAAGATTTTTCCAAAGTGTTCCAATGTAAAACTTTCATTGTCCATTTTGGCTCCACCCTACCCCAGGCATCATGATTTAAACAAACTTGAATCTACACTATCTGAAAATATTTCAACATAAGTTTCATCTTTCTTGGCTTAGTGGTTCTGGAGAAGAAGATTTTCCCAATGTATTCCTATGTAAAATGTTGATCATTCATTGTGGTCCCGCCCTTCCACAGGGGTCGTGATTTGAACAACTTGAATCTACACTACCTGAGGATGTTTGCACATAAGTTTCATCTTTCTTGATCAAGTGGTTCTGGAGAAGAAGATTTTTCCTATGTAAAATTTTGATCGTCCATTGTACCCCCACCCTATCCCCGGGGGTCATGATTTAAACAAACTTGAATCTACACTATCTGACGATTTTTCCATATAAGTTTCATCTTTCTTTGCTCAGTGGTTCTTGAGAAGAAGATTTTTAAAAGATGCCATTAATTTTTTACTAATTCTTAATTATCTCCCCCTTGGAAAAGGCTTGGCCCTTCATTTGAACAAACTTGAATCACCATTACCCAAGGATACTTTGTGGCAAGTTTGGTTGAAATTGGCCCAGTGGTTCTTAAGAAGTCGAAAATGTGAAAAGTTTCCGCACGACGCATACCCGCACGGCGACGGACGAAAACAGTTAGCAGTAGGTCACCTGAGTGACTCAGGTGACTTAAAAATTACAAAGTTCTAAGTCTGTGTGAAAATCTCGATCGTCGCTTGGCTCTGTGAATCTGTCGTCTATCCCGCCTCGTGTAAAACTGTAAACTCTCTACAGTCAACTGGTTTGTTTTTGTTTGTTGTTTAACGTCCTTCTCGAGAATTTTTCACTCATATGGAGACGCCACCACTTGCCGGTGGACAGCTGCAAATTTTAACCTATACTCGGCACTCAGGGCCATTGAGCAGTGAGGGATCTTTTTTCGGGCCAGCACCTACTGCGACACGGGACCTCGGTTTCTACGGTCTCATCCGAAGGACCGGTCTCAACGTCCTACAGTGGGATTCGACCCCGCGACTTAAGGATCAACCTCTTACTCCGCGACTCTAAAGCAGACGCTCTAAACACTGCGTCATGCGGGCGACCAGTCAACTGGTTCTCTTCTGGCCTAGTTTTATATGCTAGTATAAGACAGGTCGTACGTCAGTCCTGTCGGTCGATAGCTAAGCCTACTACACCACATTGATCGCACTAAATATTCCTTAGAACAAGTTGCCAGATAATAAGTGAAAATTCTCGAGAGGGACGTTAAACAACAAACAAACAGATCATGAATCTGTAAGACTGGGAGCAAAGTAAAACCAATCACTTGGTAAAACCCCTGTGTGACAAAACATGATTGACAGATCCAATATTTTGTTCAGATGATTTTTATCCAACTTCTCTGCCTTCTTGGATAGTACCTCCTCTTTCTCTTACTTGGTGGTGTTATATAAGTCACACGGTAATCGTTAACTGTTATCAGCTGTTATTGATTACTTTTTGCATAGTAATGTAATCAGTTTTCATGAAAAATCTTATTACTAGTAATAGTAATTTAATTCAGTCAATTACAACTAAGAACTTGAGTGTAATAGTGATTACTTTTCTTAATGTCCAACCAAGTTAATTTTCCAGAGAACTTTTTAACCTTGCTATTTATTTCTTGATTGTAATCAGAAGATATAAAACTAATTGTAATCTAATCAATTACTTTTCAGTAATTAACCACATTTCTGGTCCATATATAGTTTTTAGTTTCCTAGAACATGGGTCGTGGTGCAATTATAACAATTGTTACGCCCATTGCCTTTGTTAGTTTATAGTGATTTGTTCAAAAATTGCTTTTTAGGTTATCTGTATGAACAACCTCAAAGTTATTCACTTCGAAGGTCACTTTATTAAGTTGACAACGGAATGAAATGAATAATATTAAACAAGTGATCGTTACAACAACAAATGTTCTCGATACAATCCAAAGTTGTATAAAATCAGGTAAGTAAAGGAAAGTAAACTGACCTTTGAAGAGGAAAGTAAACTGACCTTTGAAGAGGAAAGTAAACTGACCTTTGAAGAGTTATGTAATGCTATCAGGTTTTGTTCCAACAATTAACTTTTATAATGTACAATAGTCATGTAGTACTGCAAAATATTTTAAGAAATAGTTACATTCCTTGATAAATATATTTTACAAACATGGTGATCCATCAAAATAAACCTTAAATCCATCTTCAATTTTTGTAAATGAAGAATGTTTACAAAACAATTCCCTGACTTTGTACAAAATATAAATAAAGTGTGATGGCCGATGGAAGGGATACCATTTTCGAATAATTACAGCACATCTTGAGCACCTTTGTTAAGAAATCACTTCTTAAACTGATTTTTAATTCTTGTACCGACTATGGCCATTTTCTGACGAAAATCGGGGTTCATGAAAGCATAAATGAAAGGATTTGCTACGTTGTAAATAAAGTACATGTAAAACAATATCGTGTTAAATGGGACAACCTTAAGCTTCATAAGCCAAGCTGGTAGGAACGCTGCAATGAATACAAGAGCAACAACAGACAACATCAGAGCGGTCTTGATGTTATTTACACGGATACGCTCTTGTTTAAGTCGAAAAGTGGATGTCGCATCCGATTTCCTGTGATTTTTCTTTTTCTTTTGTCGTGACTTTGGTGGGGGTTCATTATTCAGCGTTGTTGCCTGAGAACCTTGAAGTTCGTTATTTGGTTTTAACATGGGACTGTTCAAATTGGCATCCTTCTCAGCTTCATCGGTCACACACGTATTTTGTGTTTCCTGACTAACGTAAATGAAGTCTGTATGTTCGCTTTCACCAAGTTGTGTTTTACTGAATGTACAACAGGGGAAAGACTCGGTTCTAAGTCGTCGTTGTCTGCGTGTGAGGATGAAGTGGTAAATAACAACATACAGAATGATAACCACAATTCCACACGTCGCGTAAATTGATGCGTATATTGTATTATACACTGTGTAAAATGTTTCACCTAACATTCGGGGGTTACCACACAAAAAAACTGGTGATGGGAAATATTTTTCTTTAAGCGCAAGCACCACAGGATCATCTGGTCCTAGAAGCTCTATCGTGGCTTGTAATTCCAGTGTCATATTTGTTTCGTTTTTGTGTGTTCTTTGTTCAACCAAGCCAAAGTTCAAGCAGCTTACGAAACCAATAATCAGAGCAAGAATACTTAAAGAAAATACTATAATCTTGGCTCTAAACTTCGTCATGATCTGGATGAAAGGCTTACATATGCAATAATAACGATCCACAGCGATAGCTACCATTACAAACGCAGAAAAAGGTATGGTTGTAGTCACCAGAAAATGATAAGCTTTACACAAAGGGTCGTAAGGCACCCTAAAAACCACCAGCTCCATAGCAGCTGTAGCAGGAATGGTGACCAGACAGGACGTAAAATCAATCCCTGCCAAAGTCAATATAAATATCGTTGAAGTCATTTTTGGTTTCAACATAAAAAACCCATACAAAACAAGGGCGTTTCCGGCAACTCCGATGACCGAAAAAACAATAAGCATCACAACAGCTGCGTATTCGTCATCACCTAAGTGCTCCAAAGTGTCCTGAATAGCCTCCCCGTCATCCGAAACCTCAGACATATTTGACATCTTGTTCATACCTGTAAAGGAAAATTAAAATAATCTGATGATTCCATTTCAAATATGCCTGTATTTAAAACAATGTTCTTTTTCCTCATATAGACGTCAATATCTATCTATCTAATCTATCTAACTATATCAATCTATCTATCTATCTATCTATCTATCTATCTGTCTGTCTGTCTATCTAATCTATCTATCCAATCTATCTATCTGCCAGTGTTCTGTCTTTCTTGTAAGAGAGTGTGCATGAGCCCAAACATGCACCCTAACATATTGGTTCATGAAAAGTAGCCAGATATAAAGGCAATTGTATTGTAATTATATTGTTGATAAGGTAATTGTGAATTGTATTGTAATTATTGTTTTCCCAACTGTTTGCACTGGAACCTTTTCACTTTCGTAAAAGGACTTTAATCATTTTTTAAGTATGAACGTTTATGTACTGATGTTAATGGAAACATCCACCATTTACCTTGATCTGCATAATTTAAGAGTTATATAGACAGTTATATTGTGTCAGTTTGGCTAGCGATGTACGACTTTTGAGTTGATTAATTTGATAGTCACGTGGTACTCACAGGTCATTTACATGTACCTCTCCAAATAATCTAACCACAAAACGGTTGGCAAAAGTACGAAGAACAGTAGGGTTTGTTGCTAAAAACTTGTGTTTTCCATAAATAACTGAATTCCTGTTTATTATTAATAAACAATAACGAAATATATATATATATATATATATATATATATATATATATATATATATATATATATATATATATATATATATATATATATAAAATTCTCTCTCTATATATATATATAAAATTCTGTTTTTATGGTGTTTGGGTGTGTGTTCATGGTGGGGGAATGGTTAGGATCGTATTTTTCTCTAACAGTGTATACATGTATAATGTAAATGTATTGGAAACTTTCTTATTTTTTCAATAACTTGAAGTCATTTAATATTATTATACAAAATCATAACATTTGTGTATCAAATTACACATTTACAAAAACACATGAAAAAGTATGTGTATTTTTTTGAATAAAAGTGTTTTATTACATTTACGAATTTGGTCGCGAATTTGGTTAGCAAATTGCGAATTTGGTTAGCTCTTCGCGAATAGTGTTCACCACAGTAAAAATGATGGAGAATCCTAGACTTCTTTTCACAAAAAACGTCTAGACTAAGAATAACCCTGAGATTAATGTTACGGTGCTATTCATGAAAGGAATCGTAATATCGACACATTGTCGTGTTTGTTTTTTAACGTCCCTCTCGAGAATTTTTCACTCATATATAATTGATTGATTGGAAGTTGTTTAAGGTTCCCATTCGAGAATTTTTCACTCATACAGAGACGTAATCGTATGCCGGTGAAGGCATTTAAACTTAGAAGATCTATACTCGGCACTGAGAGCCATTGAGAAGCGAAGGTTCTTTATCGTGCCACGGGACCTCGGCTTTAAGGTCTCATCCGACCTGTGATTTTCACTTCTAGTGTCGGGCGCTTGGCGAAGGAACAGCCACTACCTTTGTCTTTGGTTTGAAGCGGCGCGGCGAACAGGAATAGAACCCGGACATCCCGATCACGAAGCGAGCGCCCTACCACAAGGCTACCGTGACCGGTTTGTTGTAAATGAAAAATGATAGTATGATTTTTTTCTTCCTTGGTTACCGACAACTGCTAATATGCAGAACGCTATGCGGGAAAACTATTATGCAATCATGAACCGCGAATGAAGGTGTTAGGTGTCTCATAAAATATACCGCATTTACATTCATCAACCACAATGTTCAGTATTTGATAATAATGAGTAAATCTAACTATTTATATACAAATTACATAAGTACATCATTACACATATGTCAAAAAACTTTAAAAAATCTCACGTCTACGACTGATCGTGAGAGTTTTTTGTATATCCTGGAATACGTATGCGTCTTCAATTATTTTACACTTCTTAAGGCTATTACAATGAAAAGCAGATTTTTAACAATTGCGGGTAGCGTCGAATTTAAGCCATCATACAATATGATTTCTATTTGCCCCAGTTACAAAGATGTATCTAAACATACTTCTCTGCTAGAGTTAATGTGGTCTATAAAAAAATGATGACTTTTTATCCGTCTGGGTCAACAGTTCCAGTCAAATGTATAGTTTTGTTCTGCTCAAGGTGACTCTTTCAAAGTACAATTTTCAATTTGAACAACACATAAAGGTACATCAGTCTAGTATCCAATCAAAATTCAAAGAATATTTAGGTCGTAAAGTTGTTTTGTTAATTCCACCAATGAAGTTAGAAGGCTGTATACAGTGTATTAGGTTTTCACTAGCGCATCTCAATGGCTGGGTTTTTTTTTCTTCTATCCACTAAACTCCTCTCAGAATAATGAACAAAATCTCATTAAATTAAAATAGTTTGTTTTAGTGCAAGAAAAAAAGCTAAGTGATCAAAATGTGATTGAAATAAGATAAGAAAATTTGTATGCGCTAGAAAACGTGCATTAAGATGAACCAAGAATGATAACTCATGGTACAGTACTTCCAAAAACTGAGAGGTATTTAAAAGATCTAAACGATGTTTGCGCTCGCTGAGTACCTTTTACATGTACATGTTATTTGAGCAAATCATTATTAACAAAATATCAAAACTTTTTTTGTGAAATCGTCCAAACACCAATTAATTTGACGATTTATATCAAAACTTGCTCTAGAATATATTAAAACTTACAGTGAAAACATTTTACAATGTTTTCGAACTCCCTCTCTTGCTTACAATCCATTAACACTATGAACTCTGATAAACCATATATCTGTGAATATATGAATTTAGTACTATATCATTTCACTTAACAAGGTTAATAAAGACTTTTGCTGGATTTCAGGTCATATTTGTATCCCTCAACACGAAGACTGATCTGAAATACTTTGTACTTGGAAATTGGTAACTCCTTTAATTATCTTTTTATCTGAACTGTGCATAAGAACTCTTAGCTATATTTACTACTAGAAATAAAGGAGGATTTATTAAACTTTGTAAAGCATAAATCCGTTTACGACACGTAGGAGATAATCTCAAATAAAGATAAAAAAAAATGCTGAGATTGAAGCATAGCCGATAATGGTCAATAAAATGTGATGAGTTTTCTAAACAATTTATTGTCTTCTGCAATTGAACAAAAAGGCAATATAACGGCGCCTTTGGCGTATTGTGTCTACGAATTCGCACGGTATGTGGTTTATGAGCATATCTTTGTATTCGACAGCAGCTGAAATTGACTTAAATTGAAGACCTATTTCCCAATCAGCTGTAGTCCGAGCCAATTTTAACCTCAATTGAATGAGAATAATGGGGTTTACTTTCTTCTGTTAAAGAAACAATGCGTGAAATTATGTCGTCAAAACATCAGCATCTCCAGAGATGTATTTGAAATTCAAGTTGAGAAAAAAAGATTTTAATGCGTTAAATTGGAAATGGCAAGGCACTGAACAGAGCCATATGAATTAATACTGATATGTCGTATTACTAATTTTAATTTTAAATACACAGTAACTGCGGCGTGTGACACAAGTATACAATCGCATGAAGACTAAACGCACTGTAAAAAAATATGTTAGCTTACATTGTATATGGTGACATGTACTTTTTATAGAGGAATTTCAAAGATTTATTTTTAGGACATGAAGCAAATCACGTGACAACTAAGTTGACATTTCACATTTTTCTCAAGTCATTTTAAATATCGACCAAGTATATCTTTTTTGTAATTAATGCACACGATGTACTCTTGAGAGTTGTTGAACTTTTTGAAACATTTGAAGACAAAACATCTATCAATAATCATGTTATTTTTTTTCTTACAAAATGTACTGCAAACAATGCTACATAAGTACTTTTTTCATGCATTTTTTTTTTTATATAACATTACATGGATACTTCCTGTTTAAAAAAAAATGTTTTGCAGTCGGCCCCCTCTTATCAGAAATGAACCTTTTTATTGAGTTCTTAGTTCGGCATTTTTAGGTATAAGGTGTGACAGACGGACAGACAGACAACGCCGGGTAAAGTGAACCCTAAATGACACAAAAACTAGTGGTACTGTGAGCAGTGAGCTCTCAAAATGATGCTTCAATATGAGTATAATGACAAAGTCCATTTTTTGCCATGGAAAAGCCCCGAATATTTGACCGATCAATACATAAAGTAGAAGGTGTATAATGGCACTATATAATAAGATTCTGTCAAAGTACCATTAAATTCTATTAAGTGGTATGGGGGGGGGGGGGCAGATAAGAAATGGGTATCCCTGTTATTATAGAGAGAATGACAGTGTCCATTTTTGCTATGGGAAACCAGAAATTTGGGTCCAATCAAAAAGTAATGAAATATGAAGATAACAAACAGTATTTAATTTCGAAAGTCCAATGAAACGATACAAATTTGGAGTAGAGCAAACACGGACCTCAAATTTAGAGGTGGGATCAGGTGCCATGAGGAGCGAGCATCCCCTGCCGACCGGTATCACCCGCCGTGTGCTCCTTGTCGTGATCGGGATTCTAACACATCTGCTTCATATTTATTTATATTTATCATATTTACTAGAAAAAGACGTTAATGGTAACCTAACAACAAAGCTTTATGATAAACGTGATGATTTCAACTTTTTAATCGTCAACTTCCCTTACTTATGTAGCAATATACCCTTATCACCTGCATGTGGGGTTTTTGTCTCCCAGTTGATTCGATACGCAAGAGCATACTCTACATGTAAACAATTTCTAAAACGAGGCAAACTACTGACAAACAAGTTGATGAAACAAGGATATCAACAGTCTCGTTTGAAGGCATGATTTCCCAAGCTTTATGATCGATACAATGACCTTATCAGCAAATACAACCTGTCATTAAGTCAAATACTGACTGACGTTTTTCATAGTAATTTACGCACCAAATTACCTACGGATTTTTCAGTGTTTTTTTTTCGATCATGACAAGTAGCACACGGTGG